GCATGGCGGGGTCAGATCAGGCGCAATTCCCACACTGTGTCCCTCCACAGGGCTTCTAATTAGGACTGTAAACCTTTCCTCCAGCAAAAAGCCTCATCTTTCTCCCTTGGTAGATTTGAACAGCCGTGTGCTTAGCAGCCCAATGCTAAAAGTGCTATACCACTAGGACTTCGGGTTGCCATGGGCTGGAACCTATTTAATAGGGCCTAACTCCAACAGCTTCTTTTCAACCTAGGTTTGCCCTCATGTGAGAAGGACTCCTTCACTGCACCTCCCAGCACATAGGTACATGCAGGGATGCTTCAACCTCCATACGCTGATGAACGCACATCCTTTGAAGATGCCACTGTCAACTTTACCTTTCTGTGATCCCTTTCCTTATCCATCGTGACAAGCTGCTTCAAAGGTTTGGTCAGAGCTGTTGAGGAAGGTATTTCTTAAAGCCTTGTTAACTGAAAGTAAAAGGGAACAAACATACTTAAAGATTCACTAGTGATTATATCTGGGTTGATAAAGATTTCCGAGGCTTCACCAGGGCAAATGATGAGAACACCAGTAAAAGTAGAACGTTCTCTTACCAGCACTGGTAATATGAGCAATTTAGCCACATGGATATCTTCTATCTTCTATCCCTAACTTCTGTGTAAGCTAAAATATCAGTGCCTCCTATGTTGAACTGAAACAATTTTTAGTTTTGTAAGATAAACTTTTCTTCCGGTTAAGAGTTCAAAAAAACTTTTGTAATGAGTTGGAGCCATATAATGAGACTGTATGGCTGGTGTATTAGTGAAGATTCCTCTGATTTCTGGTGATAGAAATTCAACTCAAAGTTAAAGCAAAAGAAGGATTTTATTGACTCATATAACTTGTTAGTTCAGGGGCATACGGGGGAGCACCCTAAAGTAACTGGAATCCCTCCCCCAAAGCTATATATTTAATTTTTCACAAAACCCATATCACCTTCAAAGCACTGTCCACTATACTCAATGCATTTACCAAATCTGCAATTCCGTTCTTGGAAACATTTTTCAAACTCATCTGTTTGGGTGGCTGACAAGCTCCTCCCCTGTTTTTTCTTCACCTCTGTACATCATAAACTCGCTGTTATCTCATGTCCCTCTTCATTCATGGAAACAAAAGTTGCATGGAGTGACGTCAGGTGAGTAAGGTGCGTGAGGCAAGAGAGGCATGCTTCTTTCTGCCCAGAACTGCCACACTGAGATGGCTGTGTGAGCAGGTTCCTTGTGGTGGTGGCAAAACCAGTCCCCCGTCTGCCACAAGTCAGGCCTGTTTTTGTCCCACACTGCTTTGCCATCTTTTCAGAACCTCTAAATAGAAGCTTGATTGACCGTCTGACCTGGTGGAGTGCACTGTCCCCCTCACATCAACAAAACAAATGAGCATGGTCTTAATCTTTGATTCCACTTGATGAGCTTTGGGGTCGGGGGGCAAGGTGACAATGGGGTCTTCCACTGGCTTGATTGATGTGTGGTTTCAGGGTCGTACGAATAGCACCACGTCTCCTCACCTTGGAAAAATAGTCTGGGTCGCTTCAGAGCACGCATGTTTCCAGAAGATCCTCTATTTCCGGGTCACTCGGAACCCGAGGCAGACATTTTGCAGTGATCCTTTGATTGATGTGTGGTTTCAGGGTTGTACGAATAGCACCATGTCTCCTCACCTTGGAAAAATAGTCTGGGCCGCTTCAGAGCACGCATGTTTCCAGAAGATCCTCTATTTCCGGGTCAGTCGGAACCGAGGCACACATTTTGCAGTGACCCTTTTCATTCCCAAATCTTCCACTAACATTTGCTGAACCGAGACCAAGTTCCAAGATAGTCCAGATAACTTCTCCATCTCTTTCCCGATCCATCGTCAGTCTTAAAGCACAAGGGCATGAATTTTGTCAACATTTTCATGTTTGGGAAGGTGATAGATACTCAGAACGATGTTTGTCACCAGTTGACATTTTACCTTTTTGAAATGAGAAACCACTCTTACACTTGACTTTTTCCCATAGCGCTGCCCTTGTAGCTGCGTTCAACATCACAACAGTTTCTGCTGCATTTTTCCCAAGCAGGAAACAAGATTTCACAGCCACATGCTGTTCTCTTAAATCGGCTATCACAAAAAAACGAGGTTCAAGCGAAACTGCTTTTACAAAAAAAACACACTGTGACCAGAGAGAACCTTCCCAGGCAACACGACTGACTGCACTAACTCAAAGTGAGTTGCTCATGCACACCTATTGGGAAAAATGCATACTTTTTCAGGGTTTTTTTTTGGGGGGGGGTACCCCCTTGTATTAACTGGCTTTAAGCGTGACTGGACAGGTTTTTTCTGTCGTTTAAGACAAACACTATTGGGAGCACCTTTAATGTGCTTGGCTGTTAATTGGAAGGTTGGCTTTTTGAATCCACACAGGTGTTTCACAAGAAATACCTTGCCTTCTACTTCCTAAAAGATTCGTCTGTTGTCTCCACAGGCCTGTCTGGATA